CCAGAGACGAACTTTTCAGCTTGAACTTGTCGGCTTCTACACGCCTGTGAGCCATTTACCTAAGATAAATCTCTCTCTCTCTCTCTCTTTCTCTCTCTATAAATATATATATACACTTTGCTGGTTTTTGTGTTTCTCTAGAGAACCCAATCCAACACAACATGCAAACAGTGGTTTCTAAATAATAATTTATTAATTTAATCCATTCAAATAAGGGTAATGTCTGATGTCTCCCAGTCCACACAGGAAATGATGCTGCACACCCAAGGGTGCTATTGGATAGGGCTGGAAAAGTTCTGGACAGCATTCTGCCAGACCCTCTAGGCATCATGTCACAGGAATTCTTGAACAGAGCCAGAAGAGTGACTCTGCGAGTATGAATGAGGGGTTGCAAGGAGGACATCTGAGATTGACTGTGCAGTACCTAGGAAGAGAGAGATGGGGCTGCAGTGAAGTCGGGAAGGACCTAACAGAATTCTCTGTATTACTGCTCCAGTTGGAACCTGACATTCCTTCCCCTCCTGGTTCACACTCAGATGGAAGCGGAAAGGTGGGGAAAGATAGACATTAAGCTAATGATCCTGTTGTCATCTCCAAAGATGGGAGGAGGGGGTCATACAAGAAAAGTGGATTTCCCAGAACTACTCATTTCTACATCGGGGAGTCAAGGGACATGTAAGTGGGACTTTGTAAGCAGAAGCCTTATCTAGATTAAGAATAACTATTACAATTTTGGACAGTATGGGTCTGGGTAATTTTTTTCCTCTCCACCCTCCTCTCAGCTTTTGCCATAGATAAAAGGCATCTGGAAGTGTCCTCAGTGTGGAGTTTGCCCCCTGTAAGCCTGTATACTCCAATCTGCTGCCTTGAAAGTATTTTTCTTGTTGCAGAGCTGGAGTATGGGCTTCAGGTCCATGGATACTATCCCAGAAAATAAAAACAACTAGACAAGTCATAGAGTTGGGTAACGATGCTTTCAAAGATAAATTTTTTTGTACTTACTAAAGTATCAGTTCCAACCAAGCAGAAACCCTCATGCACTGGGACAACAGCACAATGTGGCTGAGGCTCAGTGTTTGCTGGGTGCACCACAGCAAACCACACACTCTCACATGCAATACCCATGCAGTGGAGAACAGAGTCTTTCCACCTAATAGGCTGCTGCTGTAACGTTGAAGGTGTCCTTGACATTGTCCTTCTATGCTTAACAAGGGAGTAGGGGTGAGGAAGTATTGGTCTCCAAGTTAGAACATCCATGGAGGAGAGTGTGGGAATAAGGCCACCCCAGGGAAGTGGTAGGTGGTGTCCACACATGGGAGCACCATGAGAACGGGTTGTACTCTTCCGTTTGCTGAAGTGGGCACCATAGAAGCCTTGGTTCTACCATTTATCAGTCAGGCTACAAACCCAGGAGCATCACCAGGCAGTATATGGAGCTACAAGAATAGGCATAATGTCAGACAGTCCTGAGAGGAGACCTAGCTCTCCTTGAGACAACCACTCTTGAGCCTCAGTTTCTTCATTCACAACACAGAGATAATACTACTCTTCTGCTTCCCTCTCTAGGCTGATAGTGACTGCTCCTTGGGTTTCTGAGGCAGTATCATTATGGAAGTAGATTGCCCAAACTTCCTTCCAAGGAGTGGCTGGTGGGTTTGAACTGCCAGCCTTCTGGTTAGCAGTCAAGTGCCTTAGGCACTATGCTACCAGAGCTCCCAGGCTGATTTTAAGGAACAAGTAAATTAATGCACACCAATGCGCTTGAAAAATGTAAAGCTTTGCCCCAAGTGCCCAAGCCCTTTTCAGATTCTCTAGATGTGGACAGAAAGCAATGATTTTGACCTTTCTTACCTTTTCCTTGGTCAGCATTGCTGAGCACGTGCACCAGCCTTTCCTGCAAGTGGTCATTGAGGCAGACAGATTTCTCTAGGCGCTGGCGCAGGTTTTGAATGTCAACAAGATTTTTTTCCAGCAGGTCAGCTCCTGTTGCATATCACCAGGACATGGGAGAGGTAGGAGATGGGGATGGGTGGGTGTGAGGGCTTCCCAGGGCCTCTATGAAAGATTCCTGCCCATCTCTATTCTTCTGTTAACTTCTTCCTCTCACCTGAGCACCCAGGGAGCAACAAGCAACTTCGTTTCAAGAGCTCCTGGGATTTCAATTCAGTCCATCTAAGGGAGGTGGACACTGGGCTGGAGAACAGGGCTGGGAAACCATTACAGGCTTCTCAGTAGAAGGAGCCTAGCAACGGGAAAGTTTGGCTACCTTCTGGTTGTGACTTTCATAGCAATCTAGAGGGGCTATTTCTGTACCTCAGACCTCTCCTATCTCCTGATCCATGCCTAAACAACTTTTAACAGCCACCCACTCAAACAGAAAGGCAGGCAAATGCCTATAAAGTTAAATCAGGCTGTTGCATGAAGAGTAATACTGAATGTTTTCCTTTAACCACTTTTGATGAGGAACAAGGAAGCCTGGGGAGGTGTCAGGACATAAGATGGAATAGGAGAAAAGGGGGCATCTCCAAGGAAGGAAAATAATGCACAAAGGGAGGGGGAAGGAAACCAAGAGCAGGTTCCAGGTTTTTGCTTAGAATAAGGTTTTTCTTTAAGAATTTCAAATGCCTTATACCTGGGACCCAGGCACTAAGCTATTGCAAGGCCTTGCCCTATATAGCTGCACTTGTAGTGAGGGTGCCTGGCTCTGATCCCAACAGTAAAGTTTGAGAGGGTAGAATTGACTTATGGTGTGTGCACAGTGTGTCTGTGTGTGTGTGCATAGGGGTGGGTGCCTCTGTAGAAATAGTTTCTAATTCAATAGCTCTTAGTCTAAGGAAAACCTTTCCCATGGAAGTCTGCATTTGGGATTCCATAGTTGTTGTTAGGTGCCATTGAGTATGTTCTGACTCACAGCAATCCTACATACAACAGAATGAAACACTGCCCTCTCATGTGCCATCCTCAAACTGCATTGTAGAACAGTTAAGTCTAGGCCTAAGGAAGCGTAGCACAGAGAAGAGAGCACATGAATGTGAGGCAGTGTGGTGGTTATGTTTTTGTGTCAACTTGGCTGGGCCTGGTTGAGTGGCTGGGCAGCTGGATGTAGTATTCCCCATGATGAGACTAGTAATCAACTCCATGGTCGAATCTACTGGGAGCAGCTGAGTAGCTGCCTTTGGGTATGTGGTCTGCTTCCCATATATAAGCAGCAGCTTTGTGAATGGTCTCTAGCTTATGGCACCTTGAACCCTGCATGTAGCTGTGTCATTGTTCAGCAGCCTGCCATGCTCTCCCAATCCTGGGACTTTCAATGGACTTGAATTACTGGCCTGCTGTGTGGTTTGGTAACATCAGGACTGTGCCATTTTATTTGTCAACCTTGGGCTTCTCAGCCTCAGCAGCCTGAAGAAAAGCCTCCAGCTCCAGTGGGCCAGGAGCAGGAGGCAGAGCTGAAGCCCAAGGTTGGGGGGCTTTCACCCAGCCCCTAGAGCTTGGCACTTTGAACTTGCACTTAAAGGCTCCAAATTGTAAGAATAAACTCCTGTTTGTTAAGGCCATCCCATTTGTGGTATATTCCTGTCAGGGCGGTACTAGATAACCAGAATAGGCAGTTCATCCTCCCTGGAAAGTAGTGCCTGGGAATGCCCCAACCTCCTTTATGCTCCTGCCCAGAGTGCATCTCTAGGCAGGGAGAATGGCAGGAATCACTTAGAAAGGACCAGCACTGAGGTGGAATCTCATTTTCTGAAGGAACATTGTCTTTTCATCTCACCCATTTCTGTGAGCCATGATCTAACAGAGGAATTAAAAAATAAATAAATAAATAAAAATTCCTCTGGTCAAGACAGGTATGTGTTGTTCCCGTCAATGGACCTTATTTCACTAACTGCCCTTTTGTGCTTTACCTGAGGGTTTGGAGTTGGACTGGTACAAAGAAGAGAAGGTGAATAGTTCCCCAGATGCATTCATTTTTTGAGGCCTCATCTCGTCCCATGGGCTACTGCTGCCATGGTGTCCAGGCTCCAATGTCCTACTCAGCAGGGTGGTATGATGTGGTGTGGTGCCACTCAGAGGACAGGAGAGCTCAGGAGATCTTGCTCCTGAATGGTTGCCAGACAATGTAGCTGAATCAACAGGAGTGGAAGGCCTGGCATCTGCCCAGAAAGAAACAAGAGTGAGAAACAAACAGGATGCCAGAAGTGAAGTGTTTTATAGGTAATCTTGATCCCTTTGTGGCACCAACAGTTTGTGCTTGGCTACAAACCTAAAGGTTGGTGGTTCAAACTCACCCAGTGGGAACTTAGAAGAAAAGGCCTTGTGAGCGGCTTCTGTGAAGATTACAGCCAAGAAAAGAGCAGTTCTAAAATATAGATTCACCATGAGTCCGAATGGACTCAACAGCAATTAACAACATAAATAATCCAGGGAATGAAGATTCAGGTGGATGTCAGAGATCCCAAGCCTACTGTTGAGTATTAGTTAGATAATGATTCCTCAGGGACTTAATTCTCACCCCAAAGTTACTGGTATTTCAGGGTCCTCAACATGAAGAAGTGGTGGTTAGATGTAGTATCTGAGGGTCATGAAGCACACACAGGAAAAGTCTAAGGGCCCCTCTCCTGGCTCCATTTGTTATTCCTAATGCTGGAATGATCCCAGAGAGGTACTTCAGAAATGTCATCTCCAATAGCAAGACTCACTGACAATCTTAAGAATCAAAAAGAGTAAACGGATGAAGCATTTCACTGTTGAACAAGTGATTTGCTCACCCCAACAGACTATGTCCTCTCCAGCAACATGCCAACTAACCCTTCATGATTCCATAGTGGGTTATCAGAACAGTAAGGGAAAATGGCCTCCACCTGTGGTCAATGTGCAGAGAACCTAGACAGGGTGATTCAGCTCAGGGTCCTCATGCCTCACCTGGCTCCAGACCTCTACTGTGACTGAAGGATTATCTACATAAGAAGTGGTGATTTGGATCTCACCCAGCATGGCTCATAAGACTGGTGGGAGGGGGGAGACACTTAAATATAGCTCACATTGTCTGGCTATTTTCCAAAGAATTATTGGTGTACTGCTGCATGTGGGGTGGAGGGCATTTTAGAACTGAAAACCTACAAGACATCTTACAGCTCAATGATGCTAAGGCAACATGACCACTTCCTTTGGGCCCTTCATCACCATCTCCCATTAAGAAAAAAAAAAAAAAAAAAACAGCTGAGGTAGCAGGGTCATGACTCAGGGAAAACTTTAAGAGTCTATCTCCTTTCACGGACCTCTGGTAGCGTAGTGCCTAAGGCTCTTGACTGCTAACCAGAAGGCTGGTGGTTCAAACCTGCCAGCCACTCCTCAGACGGAAGGCAGGTTGGGCAATATACTTCCGTAGTGATACTGCCTCAGAAACCCAAGCAGGGGTCTCTATGAGACGATGAGTCGGGGCACGTAACAGCAACACCAATCTCCTTTCAAGGATTATTATCAAGGATCACAGAGTGGACAGGTTTTTCCACCTGAGCAGATAGGAGTGAGGTTGTTTTTTCCCCCTTAACCAAGACAAGTTCCTTTAGGGAATTGCACATTGAAATCAGTATCCAGTAGGTCTCCTTCCTTGATTTGCAAAATAAAACAAAGACAAACATAAAGAGTTGAATTGATCCTAATTCATGGCAGCCCCACATATGCATAGTAGCATTGTACTCCATAGGTTTTTCAGGCTCTGATCTTTTAGAAGCAGATTTCTAGGCTTTTCACCTGAGGCACCTCTGCATACTTTTGGCACCACCCCAGGGACTCCAACTAGCAAAGCACCAGATGCTAATTAGCATCACTATGAAATAAAGAGTAACGTAAACTATATTAAGCCTTTAGCACAAAGCCTGACTTAAAGTAGGAACTAAATACAAACATGATTTCCAACCTCTTTCAAGACCCCCTACATCCCCATTCCTAGAAAATCAAGATCATAGAAGCTTCCAAGTCTATCAGTAACAGTGTTCAGTGTTTCCATGTCCCAGTCTCCTCTGGCCATATAGCACAGACAACATGTCACACAACAATAGCAACGGAGATCCACCTCTTGCACGGGAAAATTAGCCTGACAGTGAAACTGGCATACCAGCCGCACAATTTGTTGACTTCCTGCGAAATTTTGTCTCAAAAAACTAAGAAGCAGTGATAAGAATTGTCCCTCTGAAAGAAGATGACTTCAAATGGGAAAAGAAAAAGTTCCAGTCTCTCTCTCTCTCTCTCTCTCTCTCTCTCTCTCACTCTCTCTCTCTCTCTATATATATATATGTTGTTGTTATGTGCCGTCAAGTCATCTTTGACTCATAGCGACCCCTCCTTGGATTTCCGAGGCAGT